GACAAGGCTCTTAACTTAAGTGATAGGTATTAAACTGCCCGGGATCGTGTCGCCGTGTGCAGCTGGCAGCGTTTATTTGGGGTAAAAAAAAAAAAAAAAGGTCGGTGGTGAAGGTATAGAGCCGAGATCCCCTCTCCCCCTCCGATTCCTTCCCTGGCTAAGCAAGTACAATGGAAAGAAGCTGGAATATACTCACCATCCGAAGGTGCGGTTGGTAGATCGGCTGAGGCTTTAAGGCAATTATTTATCCTTTTTTTTTTTTAAGTATTATTGCAAAAGACGTAGATCTGACTTTAAGCAGAAAAAGTGTTTTGCTCTGACAACAGCAAGAGAGGCACGGTTCCTCGTTAAAAAAAAAAAAAAAATCACAAAACAGGATCTCCCCCCCCCCCCAATCCCTTACCACTATCCCTTAAAAATACCTATTCGGTACAGTTCTCGCAGAAACCCTGATGCAGAAATCTTATAGTCCGGTCTAGGAGTGCCCAAGCCAATTAATTTTAAATCCTTAGGAATTAATCAGATTAAAATGTACAGAAGTTTCATTCTCGTATGCATACGTGAGCCAAAAGTCGTTTCCCTTTAAGAGATCCTTTTCTTTTAAAGTTGAATTTTAGGCAGATAAGAGACTTACACTAGGGGGCAGCCAGATACTGTACTTGCTCCAATCTTAAGCAATTTTTTTTCCTCTCTCACAGCATATGCTCTGATTTAGCACTGTAAATTTTTCAGAGGACCCAACTCTGACAGCCCCTGGTGATTTTCAAAGTACCACAAGCCAGTGGTTAAAAATTGCATTGACTTGGAAGTTCAGAGGCACACAATAGGAGCCACTTTCCCTATTCATGGAACTTCAGTGTGGTGGAAGAGAAAAACACACACATACTACATTGAGGGAGAAGAGGAATTCATTGAATTCTGTTAGACGTAACTGCTTTCCACTGAGTTCAGAGCGAAACTCGGTATTTGTTCGATGCTGTATTCATATTGCGATTTAATCTAGAAAGAATTAGAGGACTGTTAGGCAGCTTTCTGCCAGGAAAGCAGCTTCCCCCTCCTTCCTCCTCTCTTTTTGAAACCTAAAGATTTACACCGGCTCTATCCTCAACTCTATTTTAGCAAAATAAATCCTTCCACTCCCTCTCATTAAAATAAATTTACATCTGCAGTAAAATGGCAGGAGGGATGCGTTTGTTTATTTGGAAAACCAACACAGTCTCACTTTTAAACCAGAGCATTTCTATTGTCATTAGCCTCGGAGAAGGACAGAGGAGAATCTCCCCCTTCCTTGCGAGGCGCTCAGGTTTCGAGGATTATTTAGCGAAATTAGCTGCAGTTCATTTTTACATTCATCTGTTCTGTCTCAACCCACTCGTAGGGGTGTTTTCAAATAAATAGCAAAGCATCTAATGGTGCTAATAGGTAGTTATATCGCTGCATCCCTCGAAGAGCAAATAGTTAATCTGGGGCATTCTTCATTAATGCTTGAGCAATCAGCATATACGGCGGCTTTTAAGATTATATCAATGGCTTTCCATTTTTACGATCATACGTTCAAACTAGTAATATTGTGCGTCCTGTTAAAACCGCTTTCTCTTATGATTTCTGCATTTGTTAGGACGGCGTTAATGCTTTTTCATATGGTGAATTAATCCTGTTTACTTTGTCAGATTCGAGACAGGAAAGGTTGGTGTTGGGTTGTGGTTTGGGTTTTTGTTGGTTTTTTTTTTTTCCCCCCTCAGGAAACTCAACATCAGCAACAATCTGTGACTATTCTGTATTTTGAACCCCCATCTTCTCCCACCCTCCCCGAAAGGTGACCTCCTCGGCTCTGGGTTATTTGGAAATCATAAGACAGTTCCCCACATTTTAACAGGGAAAGATTCCTTTCCCCCTTCTGTCTTCCTAGTCCCTCCTGGTCCCTGTTTCGGGTAAAGGTTATTTTTTTGCTCCTTGAGGATCAATGGGAACGCTGCAGCCTTGTCTTTGAAATTGAGCCGCAAAACATCTTCGTCCGTGGGGTCTGAACACACCAGGTTTCCAGGCAGGACACTGTCAAGTCGAGGTGCTTTTTACAACTTTCCAATCACCTCCACACCTGCGGCTTTAGCCACATCTATTATTTCTGCGGCAGGAGTGGGTGGGCATGTGGCAACATGAAAAAGTGTATGTGAGGAGGTGAGGAGCAATTAATCCCTCGCAGAGTTGTGCCCAGGTCTGTGTCCCCGCGGCCGTGCTTGGTGACCGGCTCGCATGTGAGCGCACATACAAGCGTGCGTTCGCAGAGGAGGAACGATCCTCTCGGGCGTTTATCTGTCTATTTTAACATGTTTCCTATTTTATCTCTCCGTCCCTTCTCTTGTTGGAGTGTCTTTTGGCCATTTGTACCGGGAGACTGACTCGGAGTCCCGGTAGTTCCATTCAGCGGGAGATAAACCCCCGTCCCCGCGCTTAGATCTGTTACCTGCTCGCGGTGCAGCGCGGAGCTTGTGTTACGGTGTCAGGGTACGTGCGGTCATAAAACTCCCAGACCCACAAAATGAAGTTAAAGGGGTCGGGGCGAGCCCCGCCGCAGCGATGCCGAGCGGGGAACACGGGGATGCCGCGCAGCGGAGCGGCC